CACACTGAAAAACTAACCGAATCCCCTGCACCTAGGTTGACATATTTCTTTTCTCAACTTCGACGTGTTTTAGATTGATTTTAGCTTTAATATCCACGCCTTCGTTACTGTATTTGACTGTTGGTCTTATGGTGTCTTATGGTTGTGTCTGTAATCTATGCAGTGACAAGGCCACACATTACATAGCCAATGTATGTAAACATCACTTTAATTCCTGTTTCTCCAAAGGCCTTGGCTTAAATGACATATCAAACAATCACATATAAAGCTTGTATGTTCACATAGGAAGAAACCTGCCCAAACCATCAAACACTTCTTTCAACTTTGTTCATTCTTCGTTGGTACTGGATTCCAAAGTTCCATAAGATCCGTACAAAGAGAAATAATATTGCTAGGTCAAGCAAAAAGTACCACCAAAATCCCTGTCTGAAAGAATTATGATAATCCTTAATATAATCAAGGAAGGAAATTATTTAAAGACACACAAAGTATTTGAGACAAGTTGAATTAATACAATGTTGATTCCCATAACCTCAAAGGATTTGCGTGCCTATTGACAATCTCAGAAAAAAACCAGCTTCAATTCTGTCAAAACATTTGATTTTGCAAATTGGAAACCACCACCCAACTTAATAAACTTAAGAGAAAACCTCAATCCCTCATCCATGGGGCTTTTGTAATAAATCGTAGTGACCCTCGATACAGTGGTTCAGGTCAATTTGTCATAAATAAAAGCGAAGGCCATTTTGTATAGGGCACCGCTCCTCTCAACCATTAAACCACACCACCCTGATACCATACACCAGGAACATTATTACTCTGTCTATGGCATTCACTGATGTACGGTAATGTGTAGATATCTGCCAGGAGGTCACAAGCGGTTCACATTAGAGAATGACTCGTTGTAGCGTCCTCCCTTTTGAGTATTGTCAGGTTACATGAAGAAGCGTGATTTATTTGCTTAACGAATATTGATGCAATGCGAAGTATAATCCGACAAACTGTGTTAAACGTTACGCTCACTGCACATCTATTGAGCGTGTTTATACATTTTCAGGAATGTAACTCAAGGAGCCACACAGGTTCGGTTTTGATCAGTCTATAGGTTCAATTGAGGAAAGTTGGGTCATGTCAGAGTATTACCGGGGTCGCCTTTTCATGAATCACTTGTAAAACTTATTTCATGGGAGACATGTATGCGATATCCTCCAGCGATATACACATGCCACGAGTCTATGGGGATATTTCATGATTATAGACTAAGATATGCATGACTACTTTACATTTCAGTAGTAAGTAGCCCGAGTCTCGCGTACTTCATCATCATCATCAGATTTATTGTATTCAGGCAATAGGCCCATATTCAAACAATAATATTATATTTATACAATTTTGTACAAGTAAATATATACTTGTCACACAATTCACCCTGGACTAGTGCAGCAGTCATGTGGTTTGGACTTGCCGTGTTTTCTGCACTTTGCTTGTTATGTTTCTTTCTTGACATGTAAGCGCCATTTGTCCTCTCTCGCAGCTGTGTTTTAATCAAACTTATAACATTATACCACTTTTCTGCGGCCAGGTGAAATATCCGACCCGGGACTTTTTACATCATGGCCTGTGGGTTAAATCTTTTTATTTATTGTTCTTTGAATATTTCCTGTAACCGGGAAAAGTGTCCTCACACAACGCATTTTGCTTCCTTACAGATTCTCAATAAACGCGAAAAAAAGCTTCTAGAAGAAAAGCTTTATTCTCTTTGTGGTACTGATTAAAGAAATATGACTGAGTAGCTGCATGGAAATGATGAAACACAGCCTTGATGTTTTTATCCAGAAAAAAAAAATTAAACCTCATTGGTGTAACCATACACTATTTGTTGTAGTAGAGTGGAATATATACATATATCCATACGTGATATATATCTGATGGCCTACAAATTACTGTTGCAACGAGATCATTCCGCTGAGGTAGTGCTTGAATATTGCCAAAAGCGGTGAAAAACTTCACTCACTGACTTACCGACTGACCCACTCATTGACTCGATCACTGACTGAGTGATTCATTCACTGACTCACTGACTCACTGATTCACTCACTCACTCAGATCAATCCAACATTGCATGATAGAGAGATGGGCAACCATTGTTGTCAAGAAGTGCAAGAAACTGGTATGACAAACAGCAGATAACAATTCATAAGAGTGAGTGAGTGAATATCGGCAATATTTCAGCCATATCGTTACTAACAATTATCAAGAGAAGAGACCCACACCCGGTCACTTCACGATAGAGGAGAATGAGATGTCAATGAGTAATAATGTGAGATAACTACTTGCTGGAAACTGTTGAACACTGACCAGACCAAGCATGTGCTCTGGTGCAGGCCGCCATATTTAAAATTATCCAACTTCTGCATGCGACACAAGGCTAGGTCATATACCATTTTTTCAGGCATCATGTCATGTGTACACTGCATCACGTACACAAAGACATAACGTATATCATAGATCGATATTTTTATAGTAATTTAGCTGATGTTATATGATTATCGTGCAATAAAACAGTATCATGTTGATGATATGCATTTAGATACATTTGTAGATTGCATATTATCATATGACCACGTGTTGGTCACGTGTCGTGTTGTTGTTGGCAGTGTCGAGCCGTCGATCAGCCCATGCCACGTGGAGTCATCTGATGATAGCTGATGGCCCCCTTGCCCATTGTCACTTGGGTCAATGCTAAAAGTAAACCGAGGTTGTGTACTCCTACAAATATACTGAATACAACAGTGCCACTCGGGCTGCATGTACCTCGTGATTACACAGACACCTGAGTGGTTGGATCGCGGGCCATGAGGCGAAAGTGATTATTCCACTCTGTTGACATTACTTGTCTAATGATATCACTTCCAGTCTAATGACATTACTCACACTCTAAGGACATAACTGTTTTGCCATCTCAGAGTCCAGTACACTGCGTCGGGTGTCCATGTTAAACCGTGGCATGAAAACCGGGGTAGTACACGCGCACGCACACACACACACACGCACGCACGCACGCACGCACGCACGCACGCACGCACGCACGCACGCACACACACACACACACACACATAATATTAGTGTAATAATCTAAAATGAATTTTTGACATCACCTCACTTGTTAGTGCTAGCTCCAACAACCATGGGTACACAGATAAGCAGAACTATTTGCATATGTAGTGAACGTATGACCATGAGAATGAAGTTGACCTTCAGTCTTAAATATGCTACAATGGACACGTATAATATCACGTGCTTTCAAAGTAGGCCGAGTCCTAACTGTTATTCAAACCCCGCACGTTAGCTCTCGGTTAGGGATGTACTGAAGCCTATAAAAGAATGTATACAAAATAACTTAAATTTATTTTGCATTCGTCCCAATGTCTTCCACATAAATCATACTGATATGCACACGATTAAAATGTGTCTTCTTCGACGATATGTGAGAGGGTAACATAAGTTAGAAAGTTAACCTGTTGATTCTTCATCGATTCAATTACTCGGTATGTTTTGTTACATAGTTCTTACGTTGTTAAGTGTATCAGACGCTGACTTAGGATGTCGTAAACTAGTTACAAGTGCCCCTAACCTATCGTAGGTTAGGAGGTTGTTTACGGTGGGGTGTAAAGTTAGGAGTACTTTGTGAAACGGCACACATTTTTAATAGGTGCTTTACGACGTGGTTTAGGAGGTCATAGCGCTAAGACGCTTTCGTGAAACGGCACCCAGGTCTCCTTGGTATGCCTGACTGGACATCGTGGTTTATATATCTGGTAAAATGCATTTGTTTTTGCCACCTAAGTGACATACTCATATGGTAATAGAGAGACCGAAATGGCATGTTTTGTAACTATTTCATTGTTTATGTTTGTCGACAAATGAAATGTAAACTGTATTTTGATACTTCATGCGTTGGTGCAAATATACCAGTTGCGGTCTGTTTATACATTGTTTTGGATGTCCAGATAACACAGACATACATAAACCGTCATTGCTCCCTTCTATGACAGTAGACTACAATACAATCGAGCAGTTTATCTGTTTTCATCGGCTCGGATCCTTCACATAAATTCACACGAGACACATTATATCTAAGTCTTTGAAGGTGGTAAATTTGAACAATGCAAAGATGCATCTTTCCTGCTGTCAAGTTTTACGTTTGGCGATGTCCATAGAATAAGTTAGTTTCTACGATTCATAGCAACCATAAGTATGTGTCTTATATCCATGTGTATCTTGCTCTTTTGGTCTCACTCCAACATAAGAGAGTGAGTGAGTATAGTTTTACACCGCTTTTAGCAATATTCCAGCAATATCACGACGGGGGACACCAAAAATGGGCTTAACACATTGTACCCACGTCGGGAATCGATCCCGGGTCTTCGTCATGATGAGCGAAGGCTTTAACCACTAGGCTACCCGACCGCCCCTACTCCAGCATAAACAAAGGCTTTGAGCGCAACCAACATTTGAAACAACAGTGAGTTGTAAACGTAGAGGATAATATATTAGTTACTGTTATTTTCAATTTACAATCTTTGCTTAGCTGCTTACACCTAATTGATTTTAAACGGATCGAATACAACACGATTCTGAATTAAATAATTCATCCATGCCATATCCTAATGTAACACGGCAGGTAGGACTAATCAATTAACTGATAAAACTTCTTCACAATATCCTCTGTATGGTGGGCTGGCATATAAACACGTCAGATTCTGAGTTTCAACACGGTTGTTATTGCATCTTCAAATGGTAGACCTGGGTCACCTATATATAGATCAGATGTAAAACTTGTTTTGTTAGACGCGTATTCCATATCAAAAGAGTGCAGGACTTGCTAACGAATGAGCCTCGGTGTACACAAATAAACAGTTGCTAACTGTAAGTAATGTACACATACTTGAGGAATGCACAAATATTGTCATTGTGATAAACCAATCTGATGTACTCACCCGATGTCAGCTGTATCCATCCCGCTAGCACCACCACACCGAGTATCCTGACACCCGCCATGTTCCCGCAATGAGGAAGTGAAAAACCGGCCAAACTGTGTTAAACGTTTCTCTCACTGCACATCAACTGTGTGGTGTATGTACATGCAATGTAACTCCATCGTGTATTTATCTTTTGAATTTATGAGGATTTTAATTCAGAACAATCCTGGGTTTATATAGATGAGGTCAATCGACATTTCCGAATGAAACAATAATATCATTTAACGACATACATATCATGACCAGCTTGGACACGGAAATATTATTTTACATTTCTCGACATGTCTATTGGAGATACGACAAATCAAGCGTGACTTTTATACATGGCGTGTCTTTTTCACCACTCGGCTATGCTATTATTTCAATCAAACAAAATAGCAGATACGTAATGATTACAGACGAAGATGTGCATTATGTTTCAGTCATAAATTATCCCTGTATTATTAATTTACCACAATTTCATGATAGCATATCAGAGGATGGCGACACTATAGCACAACATAGTAATTGTGTGTGCGGTTACACTTTATTTTGGTCACAGCGCCTAGGGCTATATTATAGTACATGTGGGTTGGTGATTGAATATATAGAACTGCTTGGATAACGTCAAATCCTCAAAAGCTCTGCATGCAATTATTTGGCAGAGATAACACGTTTTAGTTAACATGTGTTGCGTTCTTGCATGTGTGTCATTGTTCCAGCAGCCCTTTGGTCCCCTAGTTCCTGACCCGTGAATATCCAGGTAGAGAATAGGTCTTCAGCAGCTCGGTAAAGGTGACTAACGAGATGGGGGATGGAGGTGGGCTGTTAGGATTGATGTCATCATATCCCAATTGTGTAGATCAATGCTCGACCAACGACCTTCGCATGGCAGGGGTACTGCTGTGCGGCCTTAGATCAAACAAACACGTACTTATCTTTGCACATCATGTCCATGACGCTTGCTATCGGTACGGCACGATACGTTGACCCGATTCACTGACACCTGTTGTCATCACTTATCTTCAGCGATAGATTCATATACTTTTATCGCTATTTTGCCCTTTACGCCCAATGCAAACTGTTTCGTCGGATAATCAACACTGGTTGACACTGGAAACTCACTGACGTTGACGTGTTACATCAACACAATCTTCGGAGAGAGACCTGCACCTGGACACATAAGGACATAGGAGAATGGATCTCAGAGTCTTGTATTCAGGGTGTGCTTAGTGCATTAAGCACTTGTAATAACCAATCACAAATGTCCATTAATGCTGGGAAATTCCTTGAAGATGCAAAATGAAATCTTCGTCTATAAATGTGTCCCATGCTCCTGACTATCCAATGTTAGCTATGTCTCGTAATGTGACGGTTCTAAACGTCCGACGTGTGACCTTATAATTACAGGTAAAGTGTGAAGTACCGACTGTCCGCAGTATTCCGGGTTTCATTTGTTAAAGGATGTAAAGGATCCTCTTACCGGATGATTCGGATTTTTTAAATATATTTGTTCACAGTCCGCTCATGTTTACAGAGATGTGAGCATCTACAAAAAATCGCAGATTAAATACTACACCCTGATATTCCACTTCAGAACTTTTAAAACTCCCAATAATTAATAATCATATATAGTTGAGATGACATCTATAAGTTGGAATCCAGGGCGCGAAAGGTTATATTTTAATGGTAAAAAAGTCACTGACCTGAAGGGAGGAAGGAAAACAATACAAACCCCGACAAGTACACATGGAAAACGAAGGTACTTACCAATGATGCCTATAATTTCGAAATGTCCGTGTACATTCCTGTACATATGCATAAAAAATCAGATTGACAAGAAGAGGAGAACAATTGGTTCCCAAGGGGATGTCCACTTTTTGTGTTCCTTCCTTAACACCCTTAACCCCCATATATGTTATCAATGGTAAAATAAAGCTATATATATATATACATACAATAGTCCCCTAGGAAGCAGTTTACATGTATTGCATTACCGCTCAATCGACATCCAGGAAGTAGTTTAGATGTATTGCATTCCCGCCCAATAGACACCAAGGAAGTAGTAGAAGAGAGAGAGAGATGGAGAGAGATGGAGAGAGAGAGAGACACAGAGAGAGAGAGAGTGAGAGAGAGATGGAGAGAGATGGAGAGAGAGAGAGAGAGAGAGAGAGAGAGAGAGAGAGAGAGAGAATTAAAATACATCGCTGATCACATATCCGTGTGACCATTCAAATCCATTTCCATATTACAACTTACACAAAAGATGTTCCTCCTAAGTTATAAGCTAGACGCCTCCCTGATATAAAGCGAAGCACATAGACACAGAGCAGCACAACGAATCTGGCCCCCTCCATGGCGGCGAGTCTGCGCACCAGGAAACTTTTACCGTACGTTCTATACGGATAGCTTATGCGTGCCTAAAGATAAGCACTGCCATTTACTGTGTATTGGGAATGTTGGTGTTATCTTTCTGTCATAACAAAGTGTTTGAATGTTTTCAAAGTCTGAACACGTTCCTGCATATACCATTGCAAGGGGACAGTGACATGGGCGGTGAAACTTATTATTTGTGAAACTCAGTTCATGTATATCAGAATGACTGAAACTGCTGTGTGGGTTCTGCACCTTCTTATTTACCAGATTTAGCCATTCAAACTGTATACTTGACAGGAGACATTGTCGACTTGCGAGTGATTAAAAGACAACGCCTAATTCCTCTTGATCCGAGGAAGGTTTGTTTGCGTAACACATTTCAAACTGTAACCAGCTCAACCGCCACTAATGCTGTATGTAGCACCCGTATGGTCCGTATCCGTATGGTCCGTCAACAAGAAAGTGCACTGTGCTTAAGCTTAACGTCACTGTGTACTAATGTGAACGAGTCGCGCCGATGTCTAAAACATATCGAATGTTTTGCTGATACAATTATTATTCAAGGTGCCCCACATCCAGCTGATAATGGTGCCTCACAAACAGTAGGTAACCACAGTCTGTCAGGTTACTTCTGGAAGCAAACTCGAGTCATTTACACGAGAGGGCAGCGAGAAGGACAACGCAGTCGTTTGTCCACCTGGACATTTATTACATAGTACGGCTGAAATCAAACGGGGAGAATGCTACAAAGATAAATAGTTTCAAAGAGAGAATTGCGTCGAAAATATAGTTTGTACTTGAATCACTTACGAGGAATTGTCTGTGTTACTACGTTGAAGTAAATAGTTCACAAAATTAGGGAAAGATCATTTGCACATTCAAAGACCTATATTTTCTCTTGTCAGGGCTATCGATCAACGGAATGAATTGTATTATTTTATCAATACATATAAATACCTTTACAATGGCAGCCAACGAAAATCGTGCATCATAGAGAGAAGTTATATTGCTCCTGTTGGGAGAGAGGGGGTACTTTTTGTTGTGGATCGCCAACTTTATGATGTAGAAACACCCCAGTGCCCTGGGTTGAGAAATACTTTTATGTATCCAACACCACGAGGTGATGGAATTGATGACTACCACATGTTAACACTAATATGTGCTAGATGTTCATACTTAGTGCATGCGCGCGCGCGTGGGTGCGTGTGTGTATGTGTGTGTGCTTGCACTAGTCCGGACTCATGCCGATTGTATAGCGCTTGCCTCTTACATACCATGTCACAGTTTAGCATGAATGCCCCACTCAGACACAGTATACTGATGACCAGGTATTTCTTAGTTCCTTAATTCAGAGTGCGACACGGGTTAACAGCCAGTGCCATCTTTTATACACATTGCATTGTGTAAGGTCATTAGGTTTTACATTTAATACATGCATCACTGTTTTTGCGTAAGGTAAGGTTATTAGAGACACCACTTTCTGATTTCTCGGCCTGTGTTTCTAAATTTGGCTGTGAGAGGTCATGATTTCCCCTGGATCAGTCGACTAATTCCATGAGCACGTGCAATGTGAGATAATGTAAGTGTCTCTGATGACGTTGTAGGATTGAGTATGTTAACTACTTTCTGTTAAAAAACCATCCTAAGATGTATTAACATCTTGACTCACACCATGTATGAGCATGTCAACACAACCAATAAAGACATGCATCCCGTCATGTTCGGATTGGGGTCCTTTGAATTGCCCTCGGAGTCCGTATTGTGAGTCCGAAACATTTTGTATGTACTGTACTTTTGACTCTATGACAGGGTGTACTTGCACGCGCAACTTATGTGACAGTTTGGCATAATTTCACAAAAAGTAGACACTGTTTTTGCATGGACCATGAAAAGCGCCGAAAAATGTGTGGCCGTATTCGTCCCCTTGCGAACTCTGAAAGACGCCTGTGATATTTTTGATTCCTTACATGCAAAATGACTTTAATCTCAAGATATTTATGTTTACAGAGACTGCATGTCCTTGTTTTCCTCGTTGGTCCTGTGTACTTACTTACTTACTTACTTACTTACTTACTTTGGAGATTTAACGTGCGCTTTCCGACTGATGCGTATTTCGCACACGGGCCCGGCCAGGCCATTAAATGTGTTTCCGAAAGGGGCGAAAGTGGTCTGTGCAACACAAGAGGGGGCTTTAGGGGTTGCTTATATAGAATTTGGGAATTTTGAGATTTGGAATAGATGCCGATGGGGTTGGGGAGGAGAACTAAGGGAGCTGGGTATGGTGGATGTTTGTTTGTTTATATGATTTTGATTTGGTAGGTTATTGTGTTTTTAGATGCGTTTATTAGTTCCGTTTTTATTAAGAATACGCCTAAGGCCTTGAAGTTTTCTAGTTTATTTTGTGGGTTTAGTATTGCTTCTAGAGTGAGAGCCTTGTTTAGACTGAGGGTGGTTTGTAATGCGGTTCGATGAGTTAGGTAGTGTGTGCAGTGGATGAGTGCGTGTTCTGGGGTTTTTGCTTGTTTGAAGTGTGGGCAGTTACCTGTAGTGTGTTTTTTAATTTGTTTTAGATGGTGTCCTGTTTGGGTGAGCGAGTGAGTGAGTTTGGTTTTAAGCCGCTTTTAGCAATATTCCAGCAATATCATGGCGGGGGACACCAGAAATGGGCTTCA